ATTTCCTGGTGAGTCTCCTTCTCCAATTTTGTTATTTTAATTAATATTTTATATATTTATTTTATATATTTTATATACTTGCTTTTACAGGTGACAACAATGGTGCTAAATGTAGACTTACAGCGTTCAGAATGCTACAAGAAGGTCAAGAAACTTCTCTGCAAATTTCCTGGTGAGTCTCCTTCTCCAATTTTGTTAATTTAATTTACATACGTATGTGAATAAATTGATCAGCGTAACGGACTGAGTCGTTGTGTTGTGAACAAATTAATTAAAGAAATACGAGATCAGAAGTATGATGAGAAGGCAAACAAAGTGACAATTAAGGTGGTGAGCTGCTCGCCGGAGAAGATCAGGGAAAAGTTATGCTGCAAGGGTTGTGGATGCATCAAGAGCATTGAGATCATTCCGGATAAGCCTCCGCCTCCGCCTCCGCCTCCGCCTAAGGAAGTGAAAGTATCTGTAGATCTGAAAGGCCAGGTGTTTTGTTATTGTAAATGCTGTAGCGGAAGGCCTTGGGGCCCATGTTACTGTGGCGGGCAAGTCCAATGCGTTCCGTGTCATGGGAAACCCGTTTGCGACAGCTGGTGCGGGTATGGAAGCGGTTGTGGAGAAACTCAACGAGACTGCCCAATCATGTAAATATTAAAAACAAGAATCTGTTTTGAATCCGGCCAAGTTAAATTCAATAATAAGTAACTATTATTTTATAAATTAGATTTATAATTTAAATTTTGATATCAATATTTAAAAAAATTAATTATCATAAATGTAATAAGTCAATATAAAGCATTTTTGAAGATTAAAAAAAAAAATTAATCTTAAAATATATAAAAACTGACTTATACACATCTTGATTGTTCAAATGAAAAAAAAAAGTGTGTTTAAATTGAAAACAAATTTAAAATGACTAATTTTATAAAACATCCATAATTTTTTTCCTTTTTTTTAATATTAAGATAATGTTAAAAAGTATAACAGTATTTTAAATTTAATATTATATAATTTGCAATGTAAAATACTTACATAAGGAAAGAAATCATATCTTCTAAACATAACAAGAATGCCCAAAACATTACTAACAAGAGAGAGCACCAACCGGTAAGCATTGAGAACTAAAAGTTTAAATTTGAGATTGTCAAAATGGACTAAAAATACATAATTTTAGTTCCTCAATAGTTCCTCAATTTGTAATAAATGCATTTTTTTGTAACTCCATTTTGAGTTAAAAGATTAAAAAAGTATATATTTAAACAAACTTAATAAAGTAATTAATAAAAAGACTAAGAAAATATATTTTTTATAGTTGAGAGACTAAAAAAAATACATAAAAAATTAAAAAATAAAAATTATGTAAAACATTAAATTTAAAGACCAAAAATAAAATTTATTCTTTTTAAATTTAAAATAATTTGCACCAACCAACTTTTGGTATACCAGCTTTTTACCTTGAAAGATCGACCGAAACACATTGAAATTTGATCAAAATGAATAAATATTGATCAAAATAAAATTAAATCATGTATTGTTTCAAATTAAAAATAAAAATTGGTATGTACTATCTATACTAACCAATAGGAAACAAAATCAACAACTTTGAAACGGAGACCCTGCCATTAATTTCGATTTTTATTTCATGTACTAGAGCCAGCACATTAACATGTTGGAACTCTGTCCCTGAGTTTAAAACTTTTTTTAACAGTAAGACAAAGCCACTTCAACCACCGATAACTTTGAACTCAGTATTATTGACTATTCTTATATGTACGGAAACCCAGACCTTAGGAAGATCTGTGCTCATTAAATACCCCCATTTCATTCTTTCTTAATTCTCCACATCTCTGGTTGGCTTCTAGCTAGTACTCCGTTTAGCAGCCATGGCCGAGGTGAAGGTTTGTGCTAATTAAATACCCCATTTCTTTTTTTTTCTTTTTGGGAAAAGGATAGGCTTTTGTGTTTTAGTTGATGCATCGGCATAGCTTCCTAATTAATTTTGCTCATCTTCTCTGCCCTTTCTTCTGTGTCAGAACCTGAATCTTCTTCTTCCACATAATCCTTTTATGGAAACTTCCTTCTCTTCCAATATATATATACTTGCTTTTACAGGTGACTACAATGGTGCTAAATGTGGATTTACAGAGCTCAAAATGCTACAAGAAAGTCAGGAAACTTCTCTGCAAATTTCCTGGTGAGTCTCTTTCCCCACTTTTGTTAACATAATTTCCGTACGCATTGAATAAATTGATCAGCATAATGGACTGAGTCGTTGTGTTGTGAACAAATTAATTAAAGAAATAGGAGATCGGGAGTATGATGAGAAGGCAAACAAGGTGACAATTAAGGTGGTGAGCTGCTCGCCGGAGAAGATCAGGGACAAGTTATGCTGCAAGGGTGGTGGATGCATCAAGAGCATTGAGAT